ACAGCCAAATTTATTTGCCCAAAGTGTAAGGGATAGGTTTTTTGATAGCGCCTGGCAGCCAGTTAGAATGCGGTCCAACAGCCCATACTGGGGCAAGTCCAGCCTTGTTTTTTCCAAAAATCGTAAGTTCTGCTCAGTATGCAAATTGCATGCTGTTGTAACAACTCAGGTTTCCCAATTGTCATGTGATTAAACATTTCAGACCCAGATGATGCCTACTGTCAGCCTCTTTAAGCCAAGTGCGTGCCTCCCAGCAAAGCTGGATGGTTTTTCAGAAGGTCTCTGAAACGAAGAGAAGCTCATCTCCTCAACATCTTTGGCAAACAGATCTCTGTGATTAAGGGACCTGAGTACCGATATGAAGTCTGTCTCATAATGGTAGGATGCAGAGCCTTCCTTCTCCAAGCAGAATGATGTACAAAGTGTTGCTTACATGAGAGTAATCAGAAAGACTGGGTTCCTGCACAGCTCCCAGTCTGAGACAGGGTGAGCACAAGATTAAGTAACACAGAATTCACCTAATTAAAGCAAGAGAGAGAAAGGCTTAACTAATATTAAGGTATTAAAGCTACCATAGGTTTAAGACAGGGCAGATAGAGCTCCAAACTAGCCTTTGGAGGAAGAGGTCTTGCAGCTGTGTAATTGGTGGGAACACGTGCTGGCCAGTGCTAGTGGGACAGGCTGGAAAGAAAAACCTTAGTAAACCCCTCACACAACACTGTCCCCTCAAAGCAAAAGTGGAAGACCAATTAATGTATTACAACCACAGGTGGTGGCAATCAATACAGGAGAATGGGTTAATCATAGGAGGTGTCAGGAATGATGAAGGGAGCCAAGCCAAGTCAGCCTGACTGGGTCAGCAAGAGGGGGAACACTTTGGCAGGAACTCATGAAATGGCTGATGGACTGAGGAAATCAATTTATTAAAACTGATAATGGATTCATACTCTGCTACTGTTCATTTTATATGGTTTGGCTGTCAACTCTTTGGGGCAGGAAGCTGTCACTCGCTGTTTACTTGGACAATACCTAGTAAATTGGATCTCTTGCCAATTGATTGTAGCTTCTTTGCACTGTCCTAATGAAATCACCTCCACCTCTAAGACTGGCCTAACACAGAGATGCAAAAAAGGGTCACATTAAAGCAACCTGAATTCTGATATTTAATTTATATGCTTTAACTGCAATAACATCCCTTGAACGTACCCATCCATTTTTAAATGTGATCCCACCACCAAATCAAACCCAACTCCCTATACTACAGTATCCCAAACCAGCCAACTTTGAAAGTTCTGCACATACGTTAAAATCCTGACCATTTTGTTAACGGGTCTTGGAATAACTTTGCAGGGGGACTTGAGTGCTCAATATCTGCAAAACACATTAACTATTCTGAATGTTTTGCTCATGCCAGCTGGAAAAGAAGGATCATGGTTTCACTGCATCTGCAAGCCTTCTAATTGTGTTACTGGATGGGCCAAAAGTCTGGCAGCCATGGAAATCAAAGCCTTCATTTCTCTTTAAGCCAGGAATAGTATATTTAATAGCAACAGGAACAGAGTCATGGGTCTAAGTGTCAGCACTGAGGATGTTGTTGGGGGGGTGGCAGGGGTGGAAATGACAGCATATGTAAGATGCTGCATCTCCAGCCCAGGCTGCAGGCAGGGAGGATGATTACACATCTGCATGGCAAGCAGAGCTACAGCAAGGGGAGGGGAAGTGAGGCACAGCAGGAGAGCAAAAATATCTCATCCTGGGAGGCTGCTTCCACCCAAAGGGCTGCAACTGCTTGGTGGTAAGACGAGAAAAGGGAAGGGTACCTGCCTGCAAGGTGGCCCAGCTTCTAGCTGCATAAGCCACTATGGGAAATATATATACATACACACACACATATATACACATATATATATTTCTTGTATTTTTCTATGCAACACATATATATGTGTGCCACAGAAGTGAAATCACCAGGACCTGGTGAGATAAAAGAAGGAACAAATTGTTTCTTGCAGAGAAAAATCAAGGCATAAACATTAACATTAGCATGCATATAAGCTTCATGAAATTATACCTATACTAATGCTATTTATAACATACACCTATTTGGGAAAGAGGACTTCGATTTAAGGAATGGAAGTTTAATTAAGGTAAAACAAAAGTTTCCATTAATCTTGAAAGAATTCACAACCTGCTGCTCTCCTTCAACATCCAATTCAGCTAATGTTATAACAGGATCAAGTGCAGCACTACGTACCTGAAACCTCCTGCAATGCAGATGAGGCCAGGCAAGCTGTACCAAACTACGTGGCCTTCTCTAGTCTGGAGAAATAGGAAGACTTCTCTCCTCAAAATACTGTTTCAAAAATGCCCCAAGTGCAGTGGGCAAATATTTTCACTAGCCAGGGCATGAAGGAAAATTATGAAGGAGAAGAGATGTTGATAAACTTGAGATTGGCAATGAAAATGAAAACCTACACCTGCAGGCAGCAGGTTCTGATGACATCTAAAAACTGTGTTTAATGTCACAAGCACAAGTTTACTCTTGAGTAGTAACTAGGTAAAATTCCAGTTATACTTAAATCTTCTCCCTGCACATGTTCAAGTCATAGGGCTGTGTTAAAAGAGTTTACTGTGTTCTGCTCCTGTGATACAGGGTAAGCACAGGTAAAGATGGTGCAGCAGAGCTGGGCGTCCTCCCCCAACCAGCAGAACCATCTCCTCTTCACCTACAGCAGAGAAGGGGTCTGGCTCATAGTCAGCATGGTCTCCATAAATCCTTATCATTGTGGCAGTATACAAAAGGGAACTGAACTGGACTTTGAGCTGGGTCTTGTCTGCAAGGCTGTTGGGAAGAGAGTGATCTTTCGTTTGTAAACTGAAAGAGATGCTGGAATCTCTGAAAGATGATATATTGAAGCCCACAAGACATTTTTGTAGGTCAGTTTTCAAAGTAAGGCCACACTGCAAAATATCAGCTTTGATTACCAAACTGTACGGCTGGTATTGAAAAAGACAGTACAGTAAATTGAATTTTAATGAGATCTGACTGTACATAAAAGGTGAAGAACTTCATTAAACAAAACCATACGGAGTACAGATGATACATATAAGGTTGCTTCTCTAATATCCTACTACTGATGCTTTCTCCATTGTATTTATCTGGGAGGAGAAGGGAGTGGGAGGAGACGACAGCTATGCCTTAGGTATTAAGAATGATGAGAGTACAGCTTTATAGCTTTAGTACAATAAATGCAAAGCATGATTTCTTCCCTACTTCATTCTGCAAAATGAACTATTCAAAAGATAATAATGAACTTTGCATCATCTAGAGGACTCAATTGTGCTCTGCTGCCTGCTTCCCTGATCCCATCCATCTAAACCACTCCCGAATCCAGAAGGACAAGCAAAACCAGCAACAAAAATGCACCTGAGAAATCAGAAATCATTGGGTCATTCAGCTGTTGAAAAGCATTTTAGATTTAAAAACAAAGGATGTAAAAAAAAAACAACCCACAACCACCCCACCAAGGACTGAGATTGAAGTCAGAAGAAAAATGCAGGATGTCTTTAGACAAGTTCTTCGACTGGGGGCAGTGGGGAATCCTAACTCAACACACAATTCTTACAACTAGAGAGAAATTCCCTGTTCTTTCATTCACCTTCCACTTTCCCTCTCCTCAACTTGCTCATTCACCTCCCTTGCAACTTACCCTCCCCCCTGAGGAACAACAGGAGGTAGCCCCTGAATTCTAATTGCATTTGCTATTCTACTAAATCCCATGCATTTACATGGGCAAAATTAGCAGGACTCGACTGTCAGGCATTCTCCACAATACTAGATGAGAAGTCACCTGAAGCTCTAGATTGCCTTTTTTGTTTATGGACTTTAAATAATTCAGAGAGGAGTTGTCAACCTGAATCTGCAAAGCTCCCTTGACTTTGGACTTACACTATTAGACTGCTTGCCTATTGTTTATGAAGACAAAAGGGAAAATGTTACAGGATCGTATGTCTGCATGGGAATGGAGTCAAGGACTAGAAGAACAAGGGCTGTCAGGACAGAAGTCAAAAAAACAGATGGGAAAGCAAAAGTAGGCAATAGGTGAAATACAGATGTACCAGCAAAGCCTCAAGAGCAAGTTGCCAGTTTGGTTGTGCTAGAAATAAACAATGCTAGCAGTTTCTTGCGTAATATGATGTCATTCTTTAAAAAGGAAAACCCCAAATGCAAATGGCAACTTTAATTAGCAATTAAAAGCACAACTTCCCAGCTATACAGCTGCAGCCACCTCTCCCAGATCTGTCTCACTTCTGCAAACCAGTGACAGTCATCAGGCAGTGGGCCAGCACTTAATCATCATCCCAAACCTCAGAAAGAGCAATTTCATCCTTTCTCCCTTTCTTCCCTTTTTTTCTGGGCTCTCTGAGCAGACAAAGATTTACTAGGTCCTGCCTGGGGACACCAGCAAACCACAGGCAATGGCCCCTGGCATCCCAGGGAGTTCACACATTCCAAGGTGCCTTTTAGTTTTTTTTTTTTTTTTTTTTTTTTAATTACTCTGGGGTGTGCATGCCTTTTATGGGGTTTTGCACAGTCATCTTCAATCAAAGCTGCAAACCTGGCTTTACAGCAAAAGACTGTTTCTTGAAGGAGCAATAAGAATTGGGAAGGAAGGGGAACCTCAGGACATTGTGGCCTTGCTCCACCCATGTACATCCCTCCAAACAGAACATAATCACCTCTACAGCCAGTTTGCTAAACCTAACGAGGACTTAAGGAAAAAAAAAAGGATCATTTTAATACAAAAAACAATAACTATGATTACAGTCTTGCTTTAAACCACCGAGCTGGATTAACTCTGGACAATTATACTTAGCTCCAGATGCTGCAGACAAAACCCTGCCCAAGGGCTGTCCCCACGTGGCAGGACATCAAGTCTGGGCAGCAGAGTCGCTGCTGAGGACGCTGCAGGAGATGTCTTGGCACATTACGGGATAATACACATGTATGGAGGGGAACGATCCGGTTTAGTTGGCTCTCCTAAAGCAGACAGAGACCTCCACTTTTCTCTAGGAAGACTGCAGTGGTGGACAAAACATTTTTCTTTTGCCCATGACTGGTCCCAGCAGCTTCCAGTCCCTACAAATTTTCATGATTAAAACAGCCTTAAAACACTGTCTTTTATCCTTGGCTTCTGACCGTATCAAATCCTAAATGAAACATGATGTAACGCATGCAAATAAGCTGAAGAAAAGAGGATTCAAATAATAGGAAAATATCATTAAGTGGGAAAGTTTAACTCAGAAGGTCAAAATCATTCTAGCCAGAAGAAAGAGATGCTGCACGGGGCACACATGCATGCCCAATAGCCTTAAACGCGGCACCGATGGCTCCTTTCTTACTCGCTCAGTGACTGCCAGCTAACAGCGGGGCCTGAAGCTGCAGTGCCATTAATGAAGTCCCTAAATCTCCTGGCCTTGAATACGCTCCTAAACTCCAGGGAACAGCTTGCCAATGGTGTACTGCCTGCCAGCATCCCTACAGCAAGGCCATTAAACAGCAAGCTCCTCTTTTTTTTTCCCCCCTTTTTTTTTTTTTTAATTTTAAATGTGGTATGTGCATCTAAAATAAGTATTGCCAGCTCTCAAACGTTACCAATCACAGGCTGCTCTCAGGTAGGAGTCCTGAAATGAATTGAGGGTCTGCAAGCTCACACGTCACAGCCTGGAAAACCTGGAATTAGATTCTTCCCCCCCATGCTCTCTCCTTGGCACTCCAAAAGGGTGAAAACCAGATGACACCCTTACTCTGTTCTAGGCTGTAACTGGAGGTTTAGGACAACCCGATGGCTCTCCACACTTCCTGCTGGAAAACAGGAGATTAAAAAAAGACATTAATTCCTAAAAGCACAGTTTTGTTGTTAGCATCGCTGCACCGGCAGCGTGCAGTCAGGGCTGGTGGCAGCAAGGAAAGCTGTGGATCATGCTGTGGCTCTGCCAGACACACTGCCCGACAGGCTCAGGTAGCTGGGGTCTGAGCTTGTCCTTCTCTAGGTTCCCAAAGAGGAAACAAAAGCTGCATTAAGGTACTTAATTTTCTGACCTGGCCACTCCACAGACCCAGCAGCGGCTCAGTTAATGGCAGACCTTCAAGCTGTCAGAAGCTTTTGCAGGTGGAGTAAGCCCTTTTTCTTACTGCATGCCAAAATAATTTCTAGGTAACATGCTACACAGATTTAACCCATTCCATACAATACCTCCTAACAACTTTATTCCCCAAAAAATAAACTGAAAGCATTTTACTTTCTAATGAGCCAGCAAATGAGGAAAAAGCATCCTTCATATGAGGTACTCACAAGCAGCTCTCATACACTCGTGTTTTTTCAGCACTGCAAGACTGCAAAAGGCTTTCAATAAAGTGAGATCTGGGTAATGTTCTATATCACTGTTTAAGGACAATTCAATCATCTTTGTTCTGGATTAAAGTCTTGCTCCCGATTAATCTTAACAGAGCAATGAATAGGAAATCTACGTCCCAGGAAGTAGGAAAGATTTAATCTCTAAACCCAATTCACAAGTAAAATCATCTCTCTTACAATGGATAATTCTGCTACTGTTCAAGTTATTTTCACACAGTGGGTATAAAAAATTATCTCTAGATATCTCAAATTGAAGTGACTGTTTTTAACGCTCCCTGTCATTTTGAATGCATGCAAAGACTAACAATACTGTATCAGAAAGAGGAGCTCAACAATCAAGAAATCCATTAAGCTACCAACAACACTACTAGCAAAAAGGAAGCTTAAAAAGACTCAAGTATACAAAATAAAAAAAATCATGTCATTTTCCTACTGGGATTATAGGAATGAACAAAACCCCTTGTGTTGCGACACAGTTCCTCTGATTTTATAATATCCTTTAGCTACATAAATATTAGAATACAAACCTGAGCTCTGCTGACAAAGGGTGAGGGAAGACAAACACTTCTGGCATTTGACTTTTTTAGCTAATCTGCTTCATCCTCCCTTGATTTTAGATATTCTTTCTGAATAGATGCTGCTACTGACTTGCTCCTTAACAGACACCACAACACTGGAGCTGGACCACACAACAGGTACGCCCTGCTTTCCTCTCAGCCTGACGATGCCGCAAACAATTTGCAGTGGAGATGGTGAGAAATATAGGACAGTGCAGTGGGTACAGGAAAATAAAAACAACTGTCTTCTGCCAGGACTCAACATGACTTACTTCTCATCACAGCAAACTTAGTGTACTGTTACAATCATCAGCAGAAAAACTCCCATGAAGAGTTCATGATCATCTACTGCCCTAGCTATAGCTTCCAAGGAAGAAATAAATGATAGTGTAAAGAAATGCCCTCTAAAAAAAGCCACATGCATTACACATACACAGTATGAGTTTGTCTGGATAAGGAGAGACAGACTATGGGGCTTCACTGTCATTACTTCATTAACTTCGATTTGTAGAGAGCTGGGCTCAAATTCCACATTCATATGTTATCCGAAATTAATATAGAAGCCCCAGCCCAGCCAAGAATACACTTGTCTACATCATAAACCCACCTGAAACCTGCTTGCAAAGCAAAACAATGGAAATTTCAAAAAAATCTGTACAAAAATGAGTTTTCACAGCTACCCTCCCCACTGCAGAATAGGTAATTCCCAGGTTCACAATGAATAGCAAAAGCCAAAGATTTAGTGACTTTGGTGAGTTTACGAGGAGACGACTGTCCTTGTCCACGTCTGTGTGTTTAGACAGCTCTGCTCTCTGGGGAAAACCAGAGAGCCTTACAACAAGAAGAGGACTGATGGCTGCAGAAGATGGCCAAGAGTCATGGAGAGGGTCTGAGTTTGCATTCAAGGATAGGCTGGGAAAGCAGCAGCCAAATTGCGTCCCTTCACCCTGTTAACGGTACCTCTATCCAAACATTTATCTACAAGAAATCTTTAAAGCAGTATTTTTCTTACATAAACATCTGAGCATCAGCAGAGTATTTTTTCACAGTGTGGATCTTTGCATACTTTTGGCAAGGTAAATACACATATTCTCAAGTTCTGAAACAAAGAAAACGCACAAGATCCCAGGGCAGGCTGCTGCGTACTATAACACTAGAAGAAAAGTTTCACAAGCTGCTAACTCCTGTTTTACTTCAGATTTTCACACATTTCCAACAATTTAAATTTCTTCTTTTGCATTGTCAAGCCAAGTGCAAACCTAACAAAAACAAAGAGTCGACAGTGAGATGAATCCTTTTGTACTAAATAAGGACATTTGTATTTCACTTCCAGCTCATTTTCTCTCTTTTTTTTTTTTATACTCCTCCTGGCCCAAATTTATCTTTTCAAATGCTGGAGCTAACATGCAAGTTGTGAAGCAAGGCACACACAGAAGCACTGTTAACCTCCTATTTTAATCAAGGATATTTCACTCTAAACTAGTCGAGTCTTCCCTCAAGCACATACTCCCCAGACTAGACAGGCTTGCTTTTACTTGATGGTCAGAAAAAACTTGTCCAGAGTAGTCTGCTTTGCAGAAGGTCTTTCTTGAAAGAAAAAGGCAACGAGGTCTCAAATGATCAACCTAGAAACTAGAAAGAAAAAATCATGTATGCCTGATTTACACTCGGAGACATGGCTAGTGATGCTGAGCCTCTGCCAGCACGGGTAGTGAGGAAGGATGCAGCTTCTCCTCCTCCTGCTGCAGTTAATTTATGTGCTATCTGCAGATTACAGGTAAAAGGAACTTTTTTTTAATTTAATGGATCTGAACCAATCTTTCTTCCCAGTATATGTAATATTGCTTATCTTCACTCCAGTATCTCTCATTATTATAAGTAAATGGGAAACAATGCACTGTCTCATCTGCCAGCTCCCCAGGCTGCCTCGGCTATACCTCTCTGCTTAACTTAATATTCACTTCAGACATACTAAAGTAAAACTAGAAAATCCAGTACCGCACCAAACAGCTCACTTCTCTCCAGCTTTAGCAACTAGATAAGAGTTTCAGAGCGATTATGATATACAATAACATGTAAGAGACGTAATTGTTTGAAGCAGCGCTTCCCTTGCAGAATTCAGAACGCCTCGTGGAAGGGTGAGCACAACTCCATTCAGCTGCACAGCCCCAAATTTAACAGTATCATTTCTGTCTAAAAGGTACTCATTAAATTACTAAACATAATTTTCCTGCCATACTGGCTTTCCCTTCCTTACAAAGAACCAATTATTATAATTCTGTGTGTATCCTATATAAAATAATTATATATCCTAATTACATATCCAGGTAGTTTCAATTCAGACACAAGATTGCTTTCAAAGGAACGACCATTTTCACTCTGTGCACACAGCTAGCTGATCTAGCATTAGCTAGAGTTAGATCAGAACAGCACGAAGAGGAAACTAAGTCTTATTTAAATGAGTTAAAAGAATACAAAACCATGTTGCTGTCGAAAAAACAATCTGAGCAGTTGTTTTTACAAGAGGCATCACATTATTGGCATTAAAGCTGGTCACAAGTTACCGGGTTTCAAAATGCTTTGGCATTTTGTTACTGATAACAGAAGGGCAGAAAGCATATGAAAACCTTCAGAGCAGTTGCCCAAAGCCAAGCAATAACTATATTAATGCAGAGACCTACATAAAGTAAAGCTTTTGCAGACAAAACCACCTGTGCATAAATGCTTCTACTTCCATTTCACCCAGAGGTTAAATTATCTGATCAAAATCTCGTGCTGGAAAGAAAAAAATCAGTTCATATTTTTTCCACTTCATTTAGACTCTGTAAAACATTAAATCCTCCCATTAAAACTGCTTAATTAGGAGCGCTAGAGCAAAAGGTTGATGCAGCTCATGAGCTGTGACTACTGAATGGTGGTGGCCTGGCAGGACTTGCTGTTGGTAGATGCACCGAAGAATGGAAAAAAAAATAAAAAAAAGACAGCATTGTGAGGTTGCTTTGACTGTTATTGAAGCAGTGTCACTTGTTAGAGGGAATAAGGTTATAAACCCACCTTCAAACAGCAGTGACAGCAGACCACCAGCAGTGAGGGTTTCAAACACCCTCGGTGCGGGAATTTTGCTGCTGCATTGAAGCTGACTTCAAAGGCAGTGGTTAGCCC